TTCCGAATGTGATCTCAGTTTTATTCTAATTTATTATCCTTCAATAAAAATTGAAATTTTCCGACAAAATAGCTCATTTGCATGGTGTTTTTGCATTTCAAATCATTTATAGAAGGAAAAGTCGTAGAATAAAAATTCTTTCACTATTAAATCGGCCGTCACTCGAAGTATATGAAACACTATTTAAATTACGAAAAAGCAAACTCACTGTTTTTTTCTAAATTTCCGCCTGAATGCGCAATGTGCTGTGTCGACCAGTGTGCAATTTCTCTACTATGTCTAAAAGGGCCAACGTGAGTTGCTGTTCAAGTGTACTCCTAACACACTTAGTTTTTTGAGTATGCAGATTAAGTGTATAGTGACACTTGGAATCTATTTAGCGAAGAAAATCGTGGAGTTATGATAATCGTTCTTCAAACACTCTCGACAGCGGAGGATTCTCTGGATAGTGTTAAAAAAATGTTCCCTTGTCAACAAGAACGATAAATAGCTTATATTTTCGTTTTTTCATAAAATATATACTTTGTTTTCGTAAAATTTATTATTTACATTCTAACAGTTAGACGTTTCGATTACAACGTGCAATCTTCTTCAGTATAACATGAAACAATTTTTTTTTATATATATCGAAGAAGATTGCACGTTGTAATCGAAACGTCTAACTGTTAGAATGTAAATAATAAATTTTACGAAAACAAAGTATATATTTTATGAAAAAACGAAAATATAAATTATCCGACTTCGTATATCAACAAAGACTCTATTCTAATTAAAACGATAAATAGCGCTCGATCATCGGAAGCTCGGTTGGGCTTGCTATTTAAATGTGAAGTCGAATCTTTTCCCCTGTTTGTTTCACTTATATTTGTTGGTCTACGACCACTCAACGAAGAGAGAATAAGCGCGCGCTATTAAAAAAAGCATCAAGCTAATCGATTACATAAATTCAACTGAGTGCAAGGACAGCTTGATATGAGATAAAAGTACGTAGATACTATATCTATACGGAGGGTGCGGGTTAACTTTACTATATAAAAGTAAATTTGAATATTTGTCAGTACGTATACACTGTCTTATCCCTTTAGAAGTTCACCGATGCAAAGTCAAGAAATGAAAGATTACCAGATTCCATGAGCAGAACTTTTCTTGTTGATAAAGTTGAATAAATCTTAGCGCTATTTTTTGGTGACATTCGCGAACAACGGTACTATCTGAGACGTAATGAAATTTGTTATGAAGACTGATGTAATTCAAATGATTTTGAAATTGGCGTTTTAAGCAGTCGACCCAATGATGCATATTTTTTCGAGAAACAAAATGTTTAATTGATGACAAATACATAGTCTGGGAAATAGAGCACTTGTGTAAAGAATGACGAATTTGATTCCTTTTTATTCAACTAAAGTGTTTGCGTTTTTAGTGATAATGATCGTTAGCACAGAATTTCGCAATTTCATAATATATGAGATGTACGTCCTCCTGCTCATTGTTTATGCAATAGAAATATCGTAAAGATTACACAGCAAAAATGGGAAACACCACTAACTCGAACAATACATGTTTTCTAGCTGCTACTGATCATGATGAATCAAGCAGTTCAACAGAACCACAACAGCAATATGTACATATACCTATATATAACTCACGCAATAACTCAGCGGTACCATCAATGTCCGGTGAACAATCGATACAAGAAGTAAAACTATCGTTAAAATCTAAAATATTTTTACTACTTATCCCAAATCTTTGGCTTGTTCTACTTATTGAAAATAAACTATGTGCAACGTTTACTCCAATATTTTTTTTACCCACTATTCTGTTAATATGGAAATGGTGGAAAATGCCTAGAGTCAACGCAGAGCTGGATTTGATAGTTCGATTATATGCCATCGGATTTACAACTGGTTGTTTAGTAGTACTAATAATTGAAACATTATTAACTGGTATTTTTGCTCGACTTTGCTTTATTGATCAATGGGAGAACTATAGGAACAGTACGGACCAAAGGATACTAAACGCTAATCGGACATTTGGTTATTATACGTTTTTTGCACTAACATCCTACATTACGGCGAGTTTTGTGGAAGAAAGTTTGAAGTATTGGGCAATCAACAGTGTAACAAAGACAACAGCCAATACGAGTGGATATCTAATGTATGCGTTAGCAGTAGCGCTGGGTTTTAGTACGATAGAAAACATTGGTTATTTGTATAAAGCGTCCTTATCAACACATAAAATATGGGAAATTGCTGCTTTAGCAATTTTTCGAGTATGTATCAGTACACCTGTTCATGTGATGAGTGGTTATTTGATTGGTATAGGCATCATACGCAGAGATTTAAAGCAAGAACCGATAAAAATATGGCAAATACTTTTTTTGCCAGTGTTCTATCATGGCACCTTTGATGTTTTATTAATGATACATAGCTCGCTGAAAAATGATGAATTAGGTGGTACTGCTGCAAGATTGATAGTAACCCTTATATCTGTGTTCGTTATACTTACTACCGAGTTACTGACAATACGATATCAACGCAAGAAATATGCAATAAACGATGGTGATCTCATCACATTGAAACACTATGACAATGGTATATGCAATGATCATCTGGTATAGATCAGACAAATATTCTCTCACCAAATATCCACCACATCAACAATCGAAAGATTATGGTTGTAAGACCGTGCAGTTGAATCATGAGTAACTACTATCGGAATTTTTAAAGAAAGCGCGTGGAAGAAAAGCTTATAACTTTTGAACAGAAAGTCATAGTAACCTGCGGTTTTCAGGGTTCAATAGGCGACAGTCGGGGGCACATGCCAACGTAGAAAAGTGATCTTCCTAGGTACTTTTTCCGACCAGATTTACATACATGTAGACGTCGTTACGTCGTAACGACTTTTGACAGTCGTACACTTTCTACGACTTTACAACTAAGTTGAGCGGTACTACGACTTTACGACTGAGTCGTATAGCAGTACGACTTTACGACTGAACGACTTTGTATAAATATTCTATCTACGACTGTACGACTTTACGACTGAGTCGTATAGCAGTACGACTTTGCGACAGAACGACTTTATATAAATATTCTATCAACGACTTAACGACTTTACAACTGACTCGTATAGCAGTACGACTTAACGACTTTATGACTGAGTCGTATAGCAGTACGACTTTACGACTTTATATAAATATGACGTGAGAGTGAGTAACCGAAATACGTGCCTGACTAACGCTTTAGAAGAAATATATTTAAGATGTGTGGCACTTGGAATTGTGATATACTCGTTAGGTCGTTAGGTCGTAGATAGAATATTTATATAAAGTCGTTAAGTCGTATAGTCGTACTGCTATACGACTCAGTCGTAAAGTGGTTAAGTCGTTAGGTTGTAGATAGAATATTTATATAAAGTCGGTAAGTCGTTAAGTCGTAGATAGAATATTTATATAAAGTCGTTAAGTCGTATAGTCGTAGTGCTATACGACTCACGAGGAATGATCCCCAACTGATAAATCGCTTTTTCAACGAAACCGACTGGAGTATAGGTAGTCGACGATGCTGATTCCGAATACCACCATGAATGCTGCCGCTAGGCCTTCAAAGACCGGTATTCTGGAAAACCA